CTGGGGGGAGGGGGCTGAAATAAGGATCATATGTTTCTGACACATCTCATCAACTCACAGCGCATCATGGGGCCTCTGCAGCGAGACATTTTTTACAGACAAAACACAAGTTCACAGGAGGGGTTGTGTGTGAGTGTGGGAGGCATTGTTGTGTTCATAAAACAGGTGTGCATCTGTGTACATTTGTGGGTGGGTGCAAGCATTTGTGTGAGCCTCTTTGTGTGTGTGTGTCTGGTGCATGTTTGTCTTTGTGTGTGTGTGCATACTACAACTAGCCTCCACCTGAATAGCCTGAGGCTGTGGTACCAGTGTTGTTAGAAGACAAACAGAGACACAGGAAGCCCAAGCTAGGAGCCCTGAAGACAGCACACACACACACACACACACACACACACACACACACAGCATGCCTATCATTAAGTATATACACATGCCCGCCACCTCACCATACGCTGTGCTTTTTAATCCCACAAAGATCACTTTAACACACAGATACACCTCCTCTACCTACTGTACCTCCTATACACACACACACACATTTAGGCCTAGCCTGTCCCTCGGTCCCCTCGCTCTGTGCCAAGTCTGGCCTGGCATGGTCCACTGAGGGGTGTCCTCAGGCAAGGCTTGCCAAGTCTAAAACCCTTTCATGTTCAGCCTGCACACCCAGGGTAGCAACGCTTTAACAAACAACCCAACACACACATGCTGCGTCTCCATTGCTTTAGAAGGACATTGGAGACTTAACATAACCTTAACCTCACCCTAATAATTTACATTTTCAGATCTCGCTTTTTGTCCTCATAAGGACATTAAGTCCCCACAGTGTGACTGTGTAAACAAATTTATGTTCCCACAAGTTGAGTAATGCCAGTCCACTTTCTCTCTCTCCCACACACACACACACACACACATACAAAAAGTCATGAACAGTTTAAGTGGTAAAAACCACACACATACATGCACACCCTTGTACATACATTAGTTTAACACTGTATCTGTAACCATCCACTAGACTTCATGACTTGAATGCAGCCGGAGCCGCTAACGCTCAGTCCAACAGCAAAGGCCGACGCATCCCCACCAACACCATTTGTGGGTATTTAGCACTTGGCTTCAGAATACAAGAATGTCCTCTATGAAAAATTCATCCTCAAAAACATTCCCGTTCACCTTCATTAAAACTTAGTAGAGCCCAGATCCCAAAATAGGACTGATTTTATCAGAGCTCAGAGCAACTGTAGGATCAAATTAGAGTCCATTTTTGTAGACAATGGAGCACTTGTGTTGGAAATATTAGCTGGTGTCCAATAATTACAATAGCATGCATCTGTGCCTTTTCAGTATGAATTAAAGTGATCACCAAAACAAAAGCACACGGCACATATGAACTTACACTGTGACCTATACGCACGCACACACACACACTGGACACAGGATAAAGATATCACCACCAAACACAACACCACCAGTTACACACACACTCCCCATGCATGGTCCAGCCCCCCAGCTCTGCCTGTCACACACCCAGTGAGTGTATATGTGTGCTTATGAGGGAGAAGGGGGCTGGTGGTTTGGAAAAAGGTGGCACGGTGCCAATATGAAGCCTGCTTAACACCTTTGTCTCCACAGCACACCGGACAGACAAGCTGCTGCAGGAGGACCCACTACACAGCTGTTACAAGAAACACCGCTCTGCTGTTAGAATGTCTTCCTCCTCATAAGGAAGTGGGGGAAAGGTGGCTGCCATAATTAACTCATTATTGATTCTGAGTCCAGCGTACAAATGGAGGCAGTGCGCTGGAAAGATGCAGAAGTGTGACATGGTGGTCGATTTGAGTGGCTACAATGGCCTCATTAACACACATGGCTACTACAAGAGGTGCTAACGCTGGGATGGATAAATGCAGGCCACAGTAATGTTGAGCACAAGAATGCAGCACCATGCTCATAAAATGCAGTGAAAAGAAACAATTTGTACAAATATTAATTACGGTATTCAGGGCAGGACGAAACCTATATACAGGAGTACAACTGTGTATTCTAAATCATAAAGCAACTTGCTCCAATTACTAATTGTAGGAAGACCAAACAATCATTTACCGCAAAGTTAACAATCACATTTGGTTCAGGGAATAATGAATGTGAATGTAAATAAAAACTATGACTCTACCTCACCAGTACGCCTCTTTAATAGTGATTATATCCTGTGAGATAAATCCAGTTTTAGTTACATTGTCTGTGTGAGAAACCATCATCTGCTCTTTTTCTGGGCCATCCATAATCTGGAGACAAGCTACGGTGTCCCTATGCATATCTTACATTGTTTATCATGCAAATGATGGCACGCAGGCTTCTCTGCCCTCCTCTAACATCCCAGAGCTCCAGACTGCAGACCTCAGCCCCAGCTGCAGCCATGAGACTCCCAGACGGCCTCAGCTGTCCCATAGACGTAGACTGAGGGGCACAGCCGCATCTACAGCGCTGTATTATAGACAACAGGCCTCGCTGCCCCCCGCCTTTCAAGTTCAACCATCCTGGATGTTAGCTCCACTTACATCCACTAGCTTATTTTCTACACCTAGCTGAAGCGCTTGCTTGTATATGCTGCTGCCCACACAGAAATCTATCTGCATCAAATGGCATTTCAGGAGGAAGGTGGGAAGCGGAGGGGTCACATTCATTGGAGTGTATGCAAGTGCAGCAGGATACAGACAATCTTTAAGTGTGTAACATATAATGCACTCCTCTGGAAAGTAGTGGACGTGAAGCCAGTGTGGCAGAGATACAGCACGTAGGACTGTTTTAAGATGCCTCAGCTCAGTGCCGGGCCTCTAACTGAGCAGGGTGAGGGAGCATGGCATCGAGCGTATGGAGTATAGGGTGGTGCGCTGGCACTGCCAGTCTGGATCCATCAATCTGGGGCATAGAAGCGGGGGGGGGGGGGGGGGTTTTGTGTATGTGTGTT